GGTTCCTTTGTCATAAATTAATCGACCATATATGTGTGGCCTTATTTCTTAGCTCTCTGTTATGATTCATTGGTCTTTGTATCTGTTTTTATGACAAATAGCATATTGTTGATTATTATAGCTTTGTGATATTGGTTGAAATTAGGAAACATAAAGCCTCCAGCTTTGTTATTCTTTCTCAGATTGCCTTGGCTATTCAGGGTCTTTTTTCTGTGGTTCCATAGAAGTTTTCAGATTGTTCTGTTTCTGTGAAAAAAATGCCATTGGAATTCTCACAGAGATTACATTGAATCTGCAGATTGCTTTGAGTAGTATGGGCATATTAACAATATTAATTATCCCAGTACATTATCATCGAATATCTTTCCATTTATTTGTCTCCAATTTTATCAATGTCTTATAGTTTTTAGTAACAGATATTTTACCTGCTTTATTTAATTTATTCTTAAGTACATTATTCTCTTTGCTGAAATTTATTCTTTTTGCTGCAATTGTAAGTATGATTATTTCTTAATTTCTTTTTCTGATTGTTGTTAGTGTATAATACACAAGTGATTATTGTATGTTGATTTTGTATCCTGGAACTTTACTGAATTTATTTAACTTTTTTGATAGTGTCTTTAGTTTTCTATATAATGTCAAGTTATCTTGTTTCTGTTTTGGATGCCTTTAATTCTTTTTCTTGTCTGATTATACTGGCTAGGACTTCCTTATGATGTTGAATGGAAGTGCTGAGAGTAGGCCATTGTTCCTAAACTTGGTGGGAAAGGTTTCAGCATTTCACTGTTGAAAATTATTTTAACTACTAGAGGCCCAGTGCATGAAATTCGTGCACTCGCGGGGGGGAGGGGGGGGGAGGGCTCAGCCCGGCCAGTGCCCTCTTGCAGTCCGGGAGCCCCACAATTGATCACAGAGCCCCCCTCCTCAATCGGTCACCCCACAAAGGGAGGCCCTGCCCACCCTGCTGGAGCTCCATGATCGATTGCCCATAGAGTAAGCCATCGCCCACCCACTGCAGCGCTGCCGACCAAGTAGCCTGGGCCTCCCTCTGTGAGGTGATCAATCACGGGGCTCCACGATCGATCGCCCCATAGAGGTAGGCCCCGCCCACCCAGCCGGAGCTCCGTGATTGATTGTCCCGCAGAGGGAGGCCCCACCCACCCACTGCAGCGCTGCTGGCCAGGTAGCCTGGGCCTCCCTCTGTGGGCTCTGCAGTCTATTGCCCCGCAGAGGGAGGACCTGCCCACCTGCCGCAATGCCACCTGTCGGGTAGCCTGGGCCTCCCCCTGGCTGGGGCTCCATGATGGATCACCCCGCAGAGAGAGGCTCTGCCCACCCACCACAGCCTCCCGGTTGGTGGCCTGGGCCTCCCTCTTTGGGGTGATCGTGGAGCCCCACCTGCTACAGCCTGCCGGCCGGTGGCCTACACCTCCCTCTGCAGGGCCGCCTGACCAATCGCATTGCACCCGCCTTGGCTGGCCTGGTGCCAGTGCATGTCATAGCGTGGTTGTCCAACAGTTGTTCTGCTGTTCAGCCGTTCGGTCAATTTGCATATTATGCTTTTATTGTAGACTAGGGGGCCCAGTGAACAAATTCGTCCACTTTGAAAGGAACTGTGGGCTGCGAGGCTGCGGTGGGTACAGGGGTGGGTCTTGGCCCATCCTCTGTGCCCCCGCCCTCCCCTTCCTGCCACGGCCCCCGGTCCCCTGTCTGCCAGTAGTTTTGGTCCTGCCACCGTTCCCATGCACTGGCCCCGCTCACACCTGCTGAGTGTGCAGAGTGATTGAGGCTGGCGCCAGCAGCGGGTGTGAGTGGCGCTGGCACTGTCAGCGGGTGCAAGCATCAGGGGTGGTGGGGAAGCCCTGAGAGGCAATTGGGGCCAGCAGCCGCTGCTCACACCTGCTGACAGTGCTGAGGGATTGGGACTGGCCCCGGGAACTGGCAGCAGGTTCGAGAGGTAGCTGCTGGCCCCAATCGCCCCTCAGAAGCAGGAGAAGGAGGATAAGCCCTGAGGGGCAATTGGGTCCTGCAGCCGCCGTTCACACCTGCTGATGGTGCTGAGCAATTGGTGCCAGTGCCGGGTGCCGGCAGCAGGTGCGAGCAGCAGCTCTGGTGCTGGCAGCAGGTGTGAGTGGGGCTGGCGCCGGCAGCAGGTGCAGGTGCTGGCAGTTGGTGCAAGTGCCTGGCAGGACTACGGCACACAGGAGCAGAGAATTTTCAGTAACCACCAGAGGCTTGCCCATATGACAGCGACTGGCACCTTGTCTTGGTCTGGTGCCCCTGCTCACCTGCTCCACCATCCCACCGAAGCTGATGCCGGCCATGTTCCACGCATGCCCCCTGGTGGTCAGCATACGTCATAGTGACCGGTTGTTCGGTTGTTCCGCCATTCAGTCTATTTGCATATTAGGGTTTTATATATATAGATGGGCTTGTCACTTATGGTCTTATATTATGTAAAGTACATTCTCTCTATACTTTTGTGGGAGTTTTTATCATTAAAGGATATTGAATTTTGTCAAATGCTTTTTCTGTAGCTACAGAAATGATTATGTAATTTTTTTTCCATTTTGTTTATGTGGATTATCACATGGATTCATTTGGCGATATTGAACTGTTCTTGCATCCCTGGAATAAATCCCACTTGATCATGGTATATGATCCTTTAATGTTGTGTTGAATTTGGTTTGCTACATTTTGTTAAAAGAATTTTGCCTTACCCTAACTAGTTTGGCTCAGTGGATAGAGCATCAGCCTGTGAAGTGAAGGGTCCCAGGTTCAATTCTGGTCAAGGGTATGTACCTTGGTTTCGGGCACATCCCCAGTAGGGTGTGTGCAGGAGGCAGCTGATCGATGTTTCTCTCTTATAGATGTTTCTAACTCTCTATCCCTCTCCCTTCCTCTCTGTAAAAAAATCAATATGATATATTTAAGAAAAGATTTTTGCCTTTGTGTTCAAAAGGGATATTGACCTGTAATTTTTTTTCCTCGTAGTATCCTTGTCTGGTTTTGGTATCATGGTAATGCTGGCCTGGTAACATGTGTTTGAAAGTGTTTTCTACTCTTCTATTTTTTAGAAGAATTTGAGGGGGATTGATATTAATTCTTTTTTAGATGTTTGGTAGAATTCATCTGTGAAGCCATCTGGTTCTGGACTTTTCTCTATTGGGTGATTTTCAAATAATGATTAAATCTCCTTACTAGTAATTGGTCTATGCAGATTTTCTGTCCTATATAATAAAAGCCTAATATGTTAAGTGTCTGACTGATCTTTCAACCATTCAACCAGTCGCTATGATGCGCACTGACCACCAGGGGGCAGATGCTCTGACCAGTAAGTTAGCTTTCTGCTGGGGTCCAGCCGATTGGGACTGGGTGAGATGGGCTGGGCATGCCCTGGAGCTCTCCCTCGGTCCCTCCCAGGCCCTGATCATGCACTGGTAAGGTCCCTCGGCATGGCCTGTACCCTTTCGCAATCTGGGACCCTCGGGACATGTCGGAGAGATGGTTTCGGCCCAATCCTCACATGTCAGGCCAAGGGACCCCACGGTGCATGAATCTGTGCACCAGGCCTCTAGTTTCTTCATAATTCAGTCTTGAGAGATTGTATGTTTCAAGAAATTATCCATTTGTTTTAGATTGTTCAGTTTGTGGTCTATAATTGTTCACAATTGTCTCTTCTGATTATTGATTTCAGAAAGGAAAGGGAGAGGGAGATAGAAACATCAATGATGAGAGAGAATCACTGATCAGCTGCCTCCTCGGGGATTGAGCCTGCAACCCTAGTATGTGCCCTGACTGGGAATAAAACCTTGACCTCCTGTTTCTTAGGTCAACTCTCAACCACTGAGCCACACTGGCCGGGCCTCTTCTGATCTTTTTTATTTATATGATATCAGTACTAATGTCTCCTCTTTAATTTCTAATTTGAGTCATCTTTTTCTCTTATAAGTTTAGCTAACAGCTTGTTAGTTTTATTTGTCTTTTTTCAAAAAGCCAAATCATAGTTTCATTGATATTTTCTATTGTCTCTTTTTGTCTCTATTTTATTTGTTTCCACTCTGATATATAAGATAGCCATGCTTCAGATAACTTTGGGCTTAGTTCTTTTTCTGGTTCTTTGTGGTGTAAACTTAGGTTATTGATTTGAAAATTTTTTCTTAGTATAGAAATTTATTTCTACAGTCTTTTATCTTAGAATTGCTGTATCCCATAAGTTTTTGTATGTGTGTTTCTGTTTTCATTTCTCTCAAGGTTTTTTTTTTACTTGTTTTAATTTTTTTTTACCCATTGGTTGTTTCAGGGGCATGTTGTTTAGTCTCCATATAAATGTATATTTTCCAGTTTTCTTCTTGTAATTGATTTCTAGTTTTATACCGTTGTAGTTGAAAAAGATGCTCAATATGATTTCAGCCTTCTTAAACGTATTAAGACTTGTTTTGTGGATTAATATATGATCCATCTTGAAGAATGTTTTCTGTGTGCTTGAGAAGAAAGTGTGTTATAATGCTGTTGTATGAAATGTTCTGTAAATGTGTATTAAGTCTATCTGACCTAATGTATAGATTAAGTTCAATGTTTCCATATTGATTTTATATCTGGATGATTCTGATTCCCATTCTGATGTATGTATTTGTTTTTTTCCACAACAAACAATTCTTCAACACCAGCTTGGCATCCTACAATTCACCTCAATTCTGACAGTATCTACTGGAGGTAGTGTTATATTCCACAGGTTGAGGGCTCAGTCTTTCCAGACTCTCTCAACCCACCCTCTCCCTGCCCCAACTTCAATCACCAATTGCAAGTCCAGAATGTCACCTGTGCTTCTGACCAATCAGCTATAGATTGGAGATTCCATAACCCCCTCCTTGGGTTCAATTAATTTACTAGAGGAGTTCACAGAACTCAGAGAAACATTTTACTTACTAGATTGCAGGTTTATTTTAAAAGCGTATAACTTAGGAACAGCCAGTTGGAAGAGAAACATAGGGCAAGATATGGCGAAAGGATATGGAACTTCCATGGACTCTCCAGGTGTGTCCCTCCCCCAAATTTCCACATGTTCACCAACCTGGATTTTATAGAGGCTCCATCACCCAGGCATGATCGATTAAATTATTGGCCATTAGCAACTGATACAACCTTCAGTTCCTCTCCCCTGTTAGGGGGCTTGATTCTCTTGGCAACCGACCCCATCCTAGCTGTGTTCCCAAAGTCACCTCATTAACGTAATATACCTTTCCTTCTCTCATTTAGGAAATTCCACGGGTTTTAGGAGCTCTGTGCCAGGATTGGGGATAATGACCAAATATATATTTCTTATTATATGTCACAGTATCACATTAATCAATGTGTAGTTGAACTGGGGTATTGAAGTCTCCTGCTGATTGTAATGCTGTCTATCTCATCCTTCAGCTCTGTTTCTATTTGCTTTATATATTAAGGTACTCCATTGTTGCGTGCATACATATTTATAATATATCCTCTTGGTGAATTGATGCCGTTATCATTACGTAATGACTTTCTTAGTCTCTTATTACAGTCTTTGGCTTAATGTAGATTTTTATCTGATTTAAGTAAAGCAACCCCAGCTTTTTTTGGTTTCTATTTGCATGGAATATATCTTTCCATCCCTTCACTTTTAGTCTGTACATGTCCTTAAACCTGAGGTGAATTTCTTGTAGGCAACAAATACTTTGGCCAGCCCTGACCAGTTTGGCTCAATGGATAGAGCGTCGGCCTGTGGACTGAAGGGTCCCGGGTTCGATTCCAGTCAAGGGCATGTACCTTGGTTGCAGGCACATTCCCAGTAGAGGGTGTACAGGAGGCAGCTGATCAATGTTTCTCTCTCATCGATGTTTCTAACTCTCTATCCCTCTCCCTTCCTCTCTGTAAAAATCAATAAAATATATTTTAAAAAAATATTTCGGCCATATTTTTTTAATTCATTCAGCAACTTTATATCTTTTGATTGGTGAATTGAGGCCCTTTACATTTAAAGTAATTATTGATCTGTATGGTCTTACTATTGCCATTTTGTTAATTGTTTTTTGTAATTCTTCTGATCCATTCTTCTTCTCTTGCTCTCTTCCTTTGAGATTTGATGATTTTCTGTAGTGTTATGCTTTGATTCCTTTCTCTTTCTCTTTTGTTTATCTACCCTAGGCTTTTATTTTGTGGTTACCATGGATCTTACATAAACATTTAAACAGTCTATTTGAAGCTAATAACAATTAATTTCAAACCCATATCGAAGCTCTCTCAATCCCACCTTTTATGTTTTGATGTCACAGTTTGCATCATTTTCATTGGGTAGGCCATTATCAAATTACTGTGGCTATAGTTTTGTTTTTTTTTTTTGTTTTGTTTTTTTAGTAATCTTGTCAATAACCTTCATAACATAATTATAAGGTATTTACCCACCACCATTTTCTTAGAGTGTTTTGAATTTAATTATACATTTACCTTTATCGGTGAGTTTTATACTTTCATATGTTTTCCTGTTACTAATTAGTATCCTTTTATTTCATTTTAAAGAACTCCCTTTTAACATTTATGGCAAAGCTGGTCTAGTGGTGATGAACTCCTTCAGCTTTTGTTTGACTAGAAAACTCTCTTTCAATTCTGAAGGACAACTTTGTCAGGTAGAGTATTTTTGGTTGGCAGGTTTTTTCTTTCAGCATTTTGAATGTTATGCCACTCTCTTCTGGCCTGCAACGTTTCTGCTGCAAACTTTGCTTATGGTTATGGGGGTTCTCTTATATGTAATACATTGCTTTTCTTTTGCAGCTTTTAAGATTCTTTCCTTGTCTTTAACTTTGACAAATAATTATGATGTGTCTTGGTGTTTGTATCCTCTTATCTGGTCCTTTATGGGCTTCTTGGATCTGGATGTCTGTTACTTTTATCAGATTAGGGAAGTTTTCAATTATCCTTTTTTGGGGGGACCCTTATAATGTGTATATTGGTCTGTCTGATGTTTCCCATAAGTTCCCTAAGCTATCTTTATTATTTTTCATTCTTTAGTCTTTTTGCTCTTTTGATTGGATGAATACCGCTGCCCTGCCTTTGAGTTCACTGATCTTTTCTTCATCTTGATCTAGTTTGCTGTTGAACTTCTTTATTGAGGTTTTTAGTTCAGTTATTGTATTGTTCAGCTCTATGATTTCTGTTTGTTCCTTTTTTACATTTTTTTTAAATCTTTGTTGAAGCTCTTACTTTATTTATGCATACCTATTGAAACTCTTACTTTGTTTATGCATATCTATGCTGACCTCAGCCAGCATCTTTATGACCATTGTTTTTAACTCTATCATTCAAATCACTTTTTTTTTTTTCACTTCATTGCAAGATCTGTTTCTGGAGATTTATCTTGTGCTTTTGTTTGGAACATATTCCTTTGTTTCTTCATTTTCCTGGATCCTCTGGTTTGGCTTCTGAACATTACCTAAAACAGCCAACTCTACCAGTTTGACAAAATGATCTCATGTAGGAGATGAATCTCCTTGATCAGGCTGGTCCTAGCTCCTAATTGTCTCTTAGATTTTGTGATTGTCGGAGCGTCCTTCTTTGTTCTTAGTATTTTCCAGTTGTTGAGGGTGTGGCAAGATCCATGAGTGTTCTAATGGGGAAGATCACAGTCAGCACCTAGATGCCGGCTGATTAGGAGCCTGACCCTCAAGCAGCAGCTGGGGTATGTATGTAGTTAAGACCCTTCCATGGAGAAACTGGGAGATGAGCTCCCTCCTGCCTCCCCCACCCCCCCAATTCTTCTTTGCTGGACCCAGTGTATACTAGTAGTGTCTGGATGGTTCTCTGTGCCCATTAAGAGCGATTTCTTTCTTTGTTACATTCCTAGGGGACCCGTTAATGCAAGCCCCTTTGGTTGTTGGAGTCAGGTGATTTGGGGACCTGTCCTTCTGGTGGCTGTCACAAAAGCTGTAGCACAAGATAAGTGTACAAGCTCCTTCTAGGGACATACTGGCAACTTGGCATTATTACTGGAGTGGACTGGAGGGACAGGCCCTCGGAGGTGTCTGTAGGCTTTCCTGGTCTCTGGGGAAGATCACAGCCAGCCCCTAGATGCCTCCTATATTAGAAGCTTTGCCATCAGGCAGCAGCTTTTAAAATAAGCAGGTACACTTCTCTCTAGGGAAATACTGGGAGATGGGCAATTTTGCTTGATTTCTCTGTGCGGTCTTGGGATGATAGATAGCCAGTTAAGAATTGTTTCTTTGTTTAATACAGTCCTATTTTCATGAATGAAAGCCCCTTTGGCTATCAGAGCCAGGGACCCAGTGACCTGTTAAACTGGGGAATAGATGTAGGTACAAGCTCCTTCAGGTGAGATACTGGTGATTTGGATTGGGTTGGAAGGAGAAGGTGGAGGAGGTATTCCCCAGCTTCCCTGGTCTCTGGAGAGGATTGCAGCCATCCCCTAGTGCCTACTGAAATTATAAGCCTTGATATTAGGCAGTAGCTTTTATAGTATGCAGATAAACCTTTTGAGGGGAAAATTGGAGATGGGTGATTTGCCTGCTTCCTCTACAAGTCTGGCATCGCCCAGACTCTCCCTGAGCTGGAGGTGAACTTGGACCTCATGGCCAGCTTCGGGAACTGAATATGACAGCTGCCAAGGAAATAGAAGTTGATGGCAGTTGGAAAGCTATTATAATTTTGTTCCTGTTCCAAACTGAAATATTTCCAGAAAAATCCAAGTCTGGCTACTACGCGAATTGGAGAAAAAGTTCAGTGGGAAGCAGGTCTTTATTGCACAGAGGAGAATTCTGTCTAAGCCAACTCCAAAAAGCCTTACAAAATATAAGATAAAATGTCACAGGAGCTGCACTCTGATAGCTGTGCGCAACACCATCCTACAGGAGTTGGTTTTCCAAAATGAAATCGTGGGCAAGAGAATCCGCATGAAATTGGATGGCAGCTGTCTCATAAAGGTTCATATATATAAAGCACAGGAGAACAACGTGGAACACAAAGTTAAAACTTTTTCTGGTGTGTATAAGAAGCTCACGGGCAAGGTCTCTCTCTCTGTCTCTCTGTCTCTCTCTCTCACACACACACACACACACACTTCTCTCTCTCTCATGCACATACAAAGAAGTTAGTGGCCCAAAGAAATAGGGGCTGCAGAGCATCTTTTGTAGTTGCAGCCAGCTGCAGGAGCTGGAACAGGATTGCATTTTCAGGGACAGAAATGCCAGTGATGCCAGGGAAGGTATTCACTGCCCAGGAGTGGATGATGCATTTGGTGGTGTTCAGAGTTCACCAGTGCCAGCACTGGTAACTTTAGATACTAATTATGGCAGGATTTTGACTTGGACCCCACAGCTCTCTATACTCCCCCCCCCCACTTTTTTTTTTGCCAGTTGCCAAATCTGCTTCCTCAGCTTTCTTGGTAAGTCTGTTGGCTTCCCAATTTCCTTTTTTTAAAAATATTTTTTATTGATTTCAGAGAGGAAGGGAGAGGGAGAGAAACATAGGAACATCAATGATGAGAGAGAATCATTGATCGGCTGCCTCCTGCACACCCCATACTGGGGATCAGGCCCGAAACCCAGGCATGTGCCCTTGACCGAAATCGAACCCGGGACCCTTCAGTCCATAGACCGACGCTCTATCCACTGAGCCAAACCAGCTAGGGCCCAATTTCCTTTTAGTACATTTATTTTCTGTTTAAATTAGCCAAAAATGCTTCCAATTTCTTGTAACTAATATAATTTTAACTGATGTTGTCTCCTTTTGTAGTGCAGGTAATTGAGACTGACTATATTCAATAAAAACAGTTAGACATACAGTACAAGTTAGTAGCATTGGTTGCCTTAATAATAATTGAAAATGTTCTGTTTAAAAAATTACCTTTGACTTACAAGTCAGGATCCTTTTTCACTTTCACTGTGGTGTGACAAGTAGGCTGATCTGGCAGTTGGTCTTGAATTCCTAATTTTTTTAGGCACATAGAAATAGGGATTATGTAGTACATAGAATTTGGAGAGAGCCATGAGTGTCCTGGACAATGGAAAATCAGCCTTAAATAAAGTCACTTGAATTATACGTATATGAAGACTATTTAGACTTTGGCATGTTCCTCATTCTACTGAGCTTTATAATGTGGGAACTGCTTATAGAATTGATATTTATTATCTTTGAAATCTGGATTAATTAATGTTATTGCTGGCTCTGTCATACTTTTTATATTTCTGAACTTTGCTTTCTATGCCTAAGTTTTATGATGGAAAATAAACTAAATTCTAAGGTCCATTCTAGACTTAGCATTTGACAAATCAATGAAATGTAATTTATTTCCTTTAAAAAAAATAAATTTTGAATGCCAATAGTTCACTTCTGATGCTACATGGAGTTGAATATACCAAATTCTTTGTGCAGTGAACTCAAAATGGTCAGTTAAGACATAGCTATTAGGAAATATGTTAGAGTTCAGTAAGGGGAGAGTCTGGAGGTATTCAGTAAAGTAACTGATATTCATGTAGCTTATGAAAACCATTTGAAAAAAATGAACAGCTTTGTATAGTCACAGTTCACATACTTAGAAAGCAGTATACTGCACTGGTTAAAAACTTCAAAATTAGAATTCTTGGGTTTAAACCTGGGCTCTGCCACTTAGTGTGACTGTGGGCTAGTTACTGAACCTCTCTGTGTCTTAAATCAATAAAATGGGGATAAAAATACAACCTGCCTTACAGAGTTGCTGTGATGATTAAATGAGCTTGTACATATAAAGTATTTGATGTATCTGAAGTGGTGCAAGACATGATACTCATTAGCAATTATTATTTTTGTTATTATATAGTCTCATATAGCTAAGAAAATTTTATCATTTTACTTTAAATTTTTGCACAGATCTTGAATTTGAGACCTTAGTTTTATGTATGTTCAAAATATATTTTGAGCAGATCTGCTTATATTTATAGCATTATATTACTAATACAGCAAATATTTTATAAGCATTAAATACTGTACTATCATTGGGATTCAATGCAGTGTTTGGCACAAAGATCTTAGTTGTGAAAGACATCCATAATAACTAGCTGTTTTTTAAAGAAGATATGACATTTCAAGTACAAATAACTGATATACTAATGTAACTAAAGTTGCTGTAATGAAAAATTTAACATTTCCTTATATCCTATATTTAGATTTTCTCTCTCTATTCCCTGTTTTTTAGTATAATATTAAATACAAAGAACGGTGAAGAAAATAGCAGTGTTGACCAAAAATATTGGTATCAGATGAGAATATTTCAGTGATGTATCCTTTTTAATCATTGATTTCTCTGCTTATATTTATTTTATAATCCATATTTTATGTTTAATTATTTATCATGCCTATAATCTTTTTTATTCTTGGATTTTCTAAGAAAATTATGTGGAATATTATACACTATGCATATTTTAACAACATTTTCATAGTTTCTTTTCAGAAATAATATAATTATGACTACACTTAAAAATATTTTTTTATCACTGCACTTTTAGTTGTAATTCCAAGTCTTCAATTCAGCTGAAGTGACAGTTATTTTAGAGACCACTTCTTTAATTGTTATATTTTTATCTTTCTCTTTTCAGGACCAGGGTTCTGCTCAAGCAGGAAAAGAGAAAGCAAAAGGTAAAAAACATTTATTTTTGTGTTAGCTTTATGAGAAAAGTGATCTTTTGAAGCATTTTTTCCAGGTTTATAAATTCTTCTAAGTGAAATTGTAAAACCATCTTCCTTTAGTCTTTCCCTCTTCGTAGATAGCTAGATTATCCACCTATATTGCTCAGGTAGAAACTTAAGGATCATTGTTGATTCTTGTCATTTTAGTTCTAACATATATCACAAGTCTGATCACTTCTCATTACCTATTAGCATCCTGATTCAAATCATCATCATTTATTGCCTCGAGTAATATAATGGCCTTATAACCTAAATCCTACTTTTTAAGTTTTTAATTACATTGATTGTATTACATAGTGAAGTTGAGCATGTAACTACCTTACAACTGAGCGGTATATATTGAGAGAAATTCTTTCATATCTGCACTTTGAGACATGTACAAACTTGTTTGGATCATTGTTGTTAAGTAGCAAACAAAAAAAGAGAGAGATAGAAAAGAAGAGAGAAAGGAAAAGGCAGGGGAGGGGATCATCCAAATGTCCTTTAGCAGTAAAATGGTTAAACAAAATGTGGCACACCTAAGTAATGGTACAACAGTGGAAATATATCAACTATGTACATGTAATTCAAGTAGACTAATCTTAACAACATAAGGTTGAACAAAGCAACTCACAGAAGAATACAGGCAGTAAGATTGCATTTACAAAAAGTTTCAAAACAGGCAAAAATATGTTCAAAGGTAGTAAAATTTAGAAAAAGTAAGGAAGTGATTACTATGAAAGCAGGATAGTTGGTAACTCAGTGAAATGATACCTTAACAATTTAGTATTTCCTTGGTTACTAATGAGGGTTTCATTCAGGTTTCCTCTTTTGTGATGTGCTTTTTCAAGCATGTTGTTCATTTTTTATTTGGATTGTTTGTCTTTTTCTTACTGTGACTTTATATATTTAGGACTTCTTTGTTAGTCATATTAGTGTACTCTGTTGCTTTTATTTATTTTTTTAATATATTTTATTGCTTTTTTACAGAGAGGAAGGGAGAGGGATAGAGAGTTAGAAACATCTATGAGAGAGAAACATCGATCAGCTGCCTTCTGCACACCTCCCACTGGGGGTGTGCCCACAACCAAGGTACATGCCCTTGACCTGAATCGAACCTGGGACCCTTCAGTCCGCAGGCCGACGCTCTGTCCACTGAGCCAAACCGGTCAGGGCATGTGGCTTTTATTTTTACTTAATTCTGTCTTTGAGGAAAGTTTTTTAATTTTGTTTAGGTGAAGTTATCAACTTTTTCTGCTTTATCTTTTACACCTTGTGACCTGTTCTCCACATAGTGGTTAGTATGATTTTTTAAAAGCACAAATCACAATGTATCATTCCCTGGCTTAAAAGCCTCAATTGCTTTTCATTGCTTTTAGAGAGTAAAATCTGATTGAACCATAGCCTGCAGTGACCTGAAGAATCTGCACCCTGCCTGCTTCTCTGACCTCATTTCTTACCACTTGCCCTATTGTTCATTGTATTTCAGCCACACTGCCCTCTTTCTGTTACTCTTCTTCTTTTCTTCTATAATATTCTCCCTCAAGATATTTGCATGTGTGCCTTGTCAACAGTTGTGTCTCAGCTAAAGTATCTCCTCTTAGATTGGTTTCTCTAATCACTCACTACATCTAAAACTTTTCCACCCTCCAGTACCCATTCTCTTGTACCCTCTTTTATTCATCACTCTTTTCATAATATGATATTTTCTTGCTTCTTTTTTAACTCTGTTCTCCTCCCCTTCCATTAATGAAAAGAGGGATCTTATTACTTTTTATCATATCCTGTGCTTTGAACTGTGTCTAGCAGTAACACAGGCATTCAATAATAAATATACTAAGAATGTAATCTGTCCCCAGACTATTTTTAAAAAATAATTTTACTCTATTTGGACCATTCTTTTGAATATTTACAAGCAAGGGAAAGACATAATTCTTTCCCCAAGTGTTATTCTCTAGTCATGTCACTTTCCTATTCATTGAAAATTTCATATTGCTTCCCCAAACCTCTTCCCAACCCTATTCTCTATTCCTTCATACTCAGTAGATACCCTTGTCTCATATCTCAGAGGAAATAGCAGCTATTGGATGAGAATTATCTGAGTTTCTACCACCAGTTCTGTAAACTACTTCACATCTTCACCCATCTTCTACCGTTCCCTGTCAACTGGAGGCTTTCTATTGGTATTTCAGTTCTCTTCTATTAAAACAAGTAAAACCCTCTCTGAATCCTTTCTCTTTCTTGCTATGCCCCTTCACTCTTATCTCCCATTTGCTTCTCAATCCATTATACTATACAGCTCTTACTAATGTCAAAATTGAATTTCATATTGTTCCATTTCAAGGATATTTTTCAGTCCAATTTGCTTTAATATGCTATCATCTCCTGAACAGTTTTTCATTTCCTTTATTTTTTTTCTTATAATTGATACATCAATTATAATAGCCATAGTCATTTTTTCAAGGGTTGGGGAGTGGGGAGGGTGAAGGGGGATATTTACATTCTAAAGGTCCTGTCGTTTTATTGCTGAACTATATAGTGTAATGCTTTTAAAGACATTTAAATCCAAGTTGGGGTTGCACATCACTCAAATCTATATATATAAAAGCCTAAGCAACCGTTACAACCAGTCGACCGAATGACTGGTCGCTATGACATGCACTGACCACCAGGGGGCAGACACTCAACACAGGAGCTGCCTCCTGGTGGTCAGTGCACTTCCACAACCAACCTCCCGCGGTCCCTCCTCCCTGGCCAGCCGGCCCCAATCGGCCCTGATTGGGACTGGGCGAGACGACCCCTATTGGTGACCAGGCCAAGGGACTCTGCTTGTGCACAAATTCGTGCATGGGGCCTCTAGTGAAATATAAATAGGTACCTTTTATCTATGGTTAATTTTGCATAACAATGTGACATTTACTTTTTTGCTTGATAGCTGGCAAGTCTCTTACAGATCTTACAGTATTTACAATCTTAAAGGTCTATTATAATTAACAATATTTTGAAATGTTACTGTGAAAGAACCTTAACTTCTTAGAAAAGTGATACTACCTTTTGTATTAAATTTTTTGCCACATTGGGCTTTTTCTACTTTTGGTATCTCACATTTATAATCCATGTTTATGGTATTGTATTGTGAGTATTTGATGGAAGAGAAGATGTTTCCACAATTTGTTTTTTAGTGTCTAATATATAATAATTGCTCAGTAAATGAATTTTAAACAAATAAATGCCTTTGAACTTGGTGAATTAAAGATGTAATCTGAAAAAAAAAGAATGAAGATAAGGAAGAATAATTATAGTTCAAACAACCAAGAAAAAAATAAATACTGGGTGAAAATGATAATTATATGCAAGTCTGGTTTTAAAAAATGTGGAAGTCGTGGAGGAATAACAAAGGGAATTAAATTGGCTTTGGCTGGAGATTAATTCTCACAGGCTTTTTCTTTTTTTTTTTAATCTTTATTGTTGAAAGTATTACATATGTCCCTTTTGCCTCCCATTGACCCCTTATAGCAGTGATTCTCAACCTTCCTAATGCCGTGACCCTTGAATACAGTTCCTCATGTTGTGGTGACCCCCAACCATAAAATTATTTTTGTTGCTACTTCATAACTATAATTTTGCTACTGTTATGAATCATAATGTAAATATCTGATATGCAGGATGTATTTTCATTGTTACAAATTGAACATAATTAAAGCATAGTGATTAATCACAAAAATAATATGTAATTATATATGTGTTTTCCGATGGTCTTAGGCGACCCCTGTGAAAGGGTCGTTCGACCCCCAAAGGGGTTGCGACCCACAGGTTGAGAACCGCTGCCTTATAGCCTGTCCCCCCACCCACCCAGGCTTCTTTTTCTTTTCCTCTTTTCAGTTGACTTTTAATTGCCTTCAGCTGTGCATATCTTTAAGGCTTTTTTATGTCAGTAGGATAACATACCTTGTAGAAAAACAAATTTTTAGCTTGTTAGATTTGTTTTATAAGACTTTTTAAAACTTTCTACACTCACATAATTTTTAATCTTTTGATACCTGGGAATTACTTTATAAAGTTCTGTTTTAAAGGCATTCATTTAACAAAAGAAAGATTATAACTGGTTGTGAAATTTCGAGTCTTTAGGCAAATTACAGGTCATCATGAATGAATTTAATTTATATGTAAACATATAACAGGGGTGTCACAAAATATGAAAATATTAAATTATTTAATAGCATTATTGTCTTTTGCTATTTATTTTTCTGCCAGAAATCTTATGGTTGCTGTGGTAATTTTTACATTTTTAATTATTTTAGGAATATTTTGAAAAGAAAAGGTTCAAATCAAAAATGAAATTACTGGGAGTTTTATCACCTGTCAAAAATTCCACTGTCAGTTTAGACCTCCTTAACCTATATGTGGTAAATCAGATCTCTTGCCAGAAGAAAACACCTGGTAAGTAATTCTAAATAGCATTTTGTTTTGACTCTGATGCGATCATAGCATTTAGTTTTCTAATAAGTTTATAATTTTAGAGCTCAATCGATGTGGAAAGTAAACTAATTGTATAAATTGGTTGTCCTCTTAAATTAGAAGCCTTAATTTTTTTTTTAAGATACATATATATATATATATTGATTTCTGAGAGGAAGGAAGGGGGAGGGAGGATGGAGCCAGGAAGTAGACATGTGTCCTGAGGGGAATGGAATTGAACCATCAGATCCTGGATCATAGGTAGATGCGGGCAGGAATAAAAGATTTTATAAATCTGTTTGATGTATTTACTTTCCCCCTTCACTTGTATAATACAGTGTTATCACCTATAGTTACCACATTTTCTTTGTTTCTTTATTTATTTAAATATATTTTTATTAATTTCAGAGAGGAAGGGAGAGGGAGAGAGATAGAAACATCAATGAGAGAGAATCATTGATCGGCTGCCTCCTGCATGCTTCCTGCTGGGGATCAAGCCCACAACCCAGGCATGTGTCTTTGACCAGAATGGAACTGGGGACTCTTTAGTCCCCAGCCTGGTGCTCTATCCACTGAGCCAAACCAGCTAGGACTAGTTACCACATTTTACATTAGATCCTTAGACCTTACTCAGTTTATGGGTGAAAGTTTATACCATTTTACCAGCTCTCCCTATTTCCCCTACTCCCCAGTCCCAGCCCCCAGCAACCGCTTTGTATTCTTTGTATTTGACTTTTAACTTTTTTTATTTTTTAGATTTCACAGATAAGTGATGCCATGTAGTATTTGTCTTTATCTGGCTTATTTCATTTAGCTTGATGCCTTCAAGGTCCATCCATGTTGTCACAAATGAAAGGATTTCCTTCTTTTTCATGGTTGAAGAATATTCCATTGTGTATTATACACCACATCTTCATTCATCTCTCCATGGACACTGAAGTCGTTTCCATATCTTGGCTATTGTGAATGTTGCAGTAAATCTGGCAATGCAGATATCTTTTCAACATCCTGTTTTCATTTCCTTTGGATATATACCACAAGTAGGATTCTGAATCATAGGGTAGTTCTTTTAATTTTTTGAGGAACCTCCATACTGTCCTTCACAGTGACTGCACCAACTTACATCCCCACCAAAAGTGTACAAGGGTTCCCTTTTCTCCATATCCTTGCCACCAATTGTTATCTTGTCTTTTTTATGATACCCATTCTAATAGGTGTGAGGTGATATCTTGTGGTTTGGATTTGCATTTCCCCCAAGGATTAGTAATAGTGGGCACCTTTTCATTTTGATGTTGGCCATTTGTATGTCTTTTTTGAAAAAATATCTTTTCAACCTGCTGGTGTGGCTCAGTGGTTGAGTGTCAACCTATGAACCAGGAGGTCATGGGTCGATTCCCAGTCAAGGTATGCGCCCAGGTTGTGGGTTCGATCCCCAGAGTGGGGCTTGCAGGAGACAGCTGATCAGTGATTCTCTCTTATCATTGATGTTTCTATCTCTCCCTCTCTGAAATCAATAAAAATATATTTTTAAAATGTGTATATCTTTTCAGGTCCTCTGCCCATTTTAAGTATTAGCTTGCTTGTTTTGTGTTAGTGAATTATATGAGTTCTTTACATGTTATATTTTGGATATTAACCCCTTATGAAATACATGATTTACAAATATTTGATGTTTCATCTCTCCCTCTCTGAAATCAATAAAAATATATTTTTAAAATGTGTATGTCTTTTCAGGTCCTCTGCCCATTTTAAGTATTAGCTTGCTTGTTTTGTGTTAGTGAATTATATGAGTTCTTTACATGTTATATTTTGGATATTAACCCCTTATGAAATACATGATTTACAAATATTTTTCCCATTTCATAGGTTGCCTTTTTATTTTGTTGAGGTTTTCCTTTTCTGTGAAGAACTTTTTAGTTTTATATAATCCCACTTATTTATTTTTGCTTTTGGTGTAATGTCCAAAAATTATTACCAAGGAGCTTATCTCTTATTTTTTTCTTTTAGGAGTTTAATGGTCTTCAGGTCTTAACTTTCAAGTCTTTAATCCATTTTGAGTTGATTTTTTATGTATGATTTAAGATACTGTCCCATTTTCTTTTGGATGTGGCTGTCCAATGATGTATTTACCTTTACATATTTTCTTTCTCCCCACTTTCTTTTCATTCATACATTCAACATATGTTTATTGACTATCTACCATAAGTTTTATGTTGGATCCTGGGAATAGAACAGCAAGTGATGGGGTCAGCTGTGCTACTCAAATTTATGATACCTTGTCATGGTAAATATTTTAAGCTGAAGGAATTTGAGAAGCAGGATGTGCAGGAGGATTCTCATGTGAGAGGTGCTTTCCTTAAACATGGAGAATATTTATCTCCATGACAGAGGAACACAGAGAGGAATCTAGATGAACAGGTTTCCCCAGTTTATAACACTTAGCTCATATCCTTTTTGTCCTATCACTTTTTCCCACTTTTCACTTTTCATCAAACTTAGCATGAAAATGCTCATGTTTTAACCACTTCTTTGGGTCTTCATTTCCTTATAAAGTTTTTCACATAAAGCCTTATATTGAGTAAATTTATTAATTTCTCTTTTCTTATAGGAACATCAGCTGAAAATTTAGAAGGGTAGAAGAAAAGGATATTTTTCCTCCTCAACAAAAACAAAACTTTATTAGTCAGGATTCATGACTGCAAATGACAGAATTTATATATATATATATTTACTTACTTAATGTTATGGACTAAATGTCTCCTCAACCCCAGTTCATATGTTGAAATCCTAACCCCCAATGCCATGGTATTAGGAAGTGGGGTCTTTAAGAAGTGATTAAGTTATTAGGGTGGAGCTCTCATGAATGGAATTAGTGCCCTGATAAAAGAGATTCCAGAGATCTCTCCCACACCTTTCACCATGGCTGTCTATGAACTGGAAGAGGGCCCTTATCAGACACCGAATCTGGCAGCGCCTTTATCTTGGACTGCCCTGCTGCCAGACTGATAGATAAATATTCGTTGTTTATAATCCACCCAGACCATGGTATTCTGTTACAGTAGCTTGAATGGTTTGACACTTAACTAAAAGGAAGAATAACGGTGCAGCTGGGCCTCAGAGACTGCTTGAATTAGAGACTTGAATGCTATGAAAGATTCTCAGTTACGATATTCTCTCTGACCGTTTTCATCACTGAGGTTTAAAACATGACCTTAAAAAAACTAATATTGCTCATATTTTAGTTTTGCCGCTAGGGAAATAGTGAGAATTGTTTCTCCTGCTTCTGAATTTTTAAATTCCTCTGAAGGATGTTGCCTTGCCCTGTTGATGTCAGGTCCCAGCACTGGAACAATTACTTAATACCAGAGAGATGTGATATTATTGATTCATCTTGGGTCAGATAGCTAACCCTAAATGAATCATTTTTCCAGAGAGGTAGGATTTTTATAAGAAGATAGAAAGTCTTTTCTAGAGCTATATAGTCTGTGCATGTGTAAAAAGCACTCCCCAGAACAGGAGAGCAGTTAAAAGTACTGAACAGACAAAATAGTGAAATCTTTTATAAGGAGAGACAAAGTTTAAAATCTAGTGAGGGATATGGAGTTAATTAAGTACAATAAACTATGGTAAGTGATATAATAGAGAATATATGTAGTGTTATGGCAATATATAACATAGCACCTCATATAGTCTGGGGGTCAGGGAAGGCTTGGAGGGAAAAAAGTAGAACTGAATTAGTAGAGCCCCTTTTATGAGGAATATGTAAGATGAAAAAGATGATTTGAATGATCTGTGATAGGTAATGATTTTTTTTAGCATATATGGAATATAGATGGTTTTAGTAAATGTAAGATGTATATTTATTTAATGAACAGAGTATATCAAAAAGTGCTTTTAAAATATTTTGTCATCCATTTTATTTTTAAATTATAGTGTGTTTTTTTGTTGTTACAGAAACTATGAGAAAACCAATCCATGTGAATATGAATAGAGACATAAAAATGCCCCTAAAAAAGCATGATTTAGAACTTCCAATGTCGCCTCCCTGTGTACCATCTAAACTCTGCATTGATGATCTAGAAAGCAGGTGAGTTTTGGCTAGGTTAAATATTGTTAGGTATTTAGATGTATCATTTATTGACACTTTTATTCCTTGAAAATGTACAAAGGGCTTATTCTTCTATCTCAAGTTTTTGTCTTGCTGTATTATTAAACTATTAAGACCTTTGTTAAATAACCTGATGTTCATATTCAGTATTTTGTATGCATAGTTTGACTTTCCTTATCATAAAAATGTCTCTTTAGTAATAGTATCCATACTAATAAAAGGGTAATATGCTAATTAGACTGGGTCGACCCAACATCTTCCAGTCATCCTGCCTTCCTTCTGGAGAAAGCCACAGTGGTGGGGGCCAAGGCAGAGGCAGTTAGGGGTAATCAGGCCGACAGGGGAGGGCAGTTAGGGGCGATCAGGCAGGCAGGGGAGGGCAGTTAGGGGCAATCAGGCAGGCAGGCAGGCAGGCGAGTGGTTAGGAGCCAGTGGTCCCAGATTAGAGAGGATGCAGGCTGGGCTGAGGACAGATTAGAGAGGATGCAGGCCGGGCTGAGGGACCCCCCCCCTGCACGAATTTTGTGCACTGGGCCTCTAGTAATTTTTATAAAACTCAGTCATAGTATGTCCCAGGAATGATTTGAGTTTCATATGTTTTTGTGTATTTGGATATAAAAGTATGAATTTTAAAGCATATATAAAAAGCCAATTTTATTGCCCTGTCTATTTTTAATCTTAAATTTTAATTTTAATTAGTATGCATCATCAAAGACTGGGAAGCAAGGAAGAACTGGGCCCGGTTCAGGTGAGAATGAAAAAGAATTTTTATAAGTTATTTTAACAAATGTGGCATCCTGCCAAATAATACATTTTTTAATATTAGGAAAAAATATTTATCCTTTAAAAATTTTTAGTCTTTAAAATTATTATTTTAAAAGTTTTTAATGTAAGGAACCTGTACGATAAAAAATGTTTTAGTTGTCTGTGTATGAGAAACCTTTTGGAGTTGTGGTAATGTAGACTAGGCCTGTACGTGTATAACATTTGATTCTGCTTGTTATTTACATATTGCAAAGGATAAGTCAGTTAGGGATTTCTATTTGGGTTCATGTGATAATTGGCAATTTATCCTTCAGGTATAGTGACCAGATTGCTTTATTTTATATCAAATTATGATTTTCAGAATTCATGTTGATCCCAAGATTATTTTTCTTTTAAAGTATTGCAAATGATTATTTTTTAGCAAATAATGTTTTAAGAAATTAGAAAATGCATAGATTGTGATTAAAGCCTGAAATTTTAAGGTCCAACACCATATTATCTTCTTTTCCTTTTTTTGAATTGCCAGAGTTAAACTACATCAAAAATATAATGGCAGTAATACTAAAATCTCTTGGAAATCTTTTCATCTGAATTTGTGGGTTAATGAAACACAGAGTTCCTGTCATTAGGAGATGACAAGCAGGAATGGAGCTTTAGGGTGGAGGGGATCAAGGGTGAGAAAGGCAGATGGAAGGAACCTTCTAAGTACATGCTTAGATGATAACTTCTCTTGTCTTAAAAAGTCCTGTCAATTACTGATGACTTGCCTTTCCTTGGGACTTTTTCTCCAATGTATGCATGACCTATTCACTTCTTTTTTGACTTTTGTCTTCTCTAGTTTATTTATTTTATTTGAAATTCACATGATTGTATCTTTTTTCCTATAGTTGTCACAAGTCATGGACTCATATAGAATTTTTGAACCTCAGTTCAACAGAGTAGAAAACTGCAGTTTCACACCATCATCTTTTTCTGCAGAATTATCTTCTAACAGAAATGTTACAAAACAAAATTTCGTCCCCAGAATAGCACCTAGTCCTCAGAAAGTTGCATATGAAAAAAAACAGAATGAGCAGGTATCTTTGAATCATTAGTTCTAAGTATTTTATATGATTATATTTTTATGGCATTCTTTTTTCTTTTATAAAATAAAAAAAATCAGTGTGAATTGCTATAGGTATAGCCAAATTAGGAGATAAAATTAAGTATAATATTTCCTCTTAAGACAAAAGCTTAATTCTCTTTACTAGATAATGAATCCAAACACTGGAATGTTCTTTAAAAATCTTTGAAATCACCATCCTGTTATAAAATTGTTGATAGTGAAAATGAAAATTCAGTATATTTTATAATAGTTGATACTTGTAATCACAGTAAATGACTGGTTGGTATGAAAGGGTCCTGTGAATAGTAATACATAATTTCAACGTGTCATAGAAGTCTGTTAAAGTATGAGCTGTGATAGCTTGATTCTTTTTATGATTTGACAAATGAGAACTGGTCAAATACATGTTAATTAAAATTATACAAATAGGAATCATTGCTAATAATGGAAGACTGGCGATATGCCTTGATATTTTCAGAGGGATATATATAAATATATATATATATATGTCAGAGAAAAATTTGAAGGGCACTCCTTTGGTTCAGATGAATCTTCCTCTATTTCAAGAAGCAAGAAAAATCTCAAATAAATAATCTAACCCTATGCCTAAAAGAACTAGAAAGAGAACAAGAAAATCCCAGAGTGAGCAGAAGGATGAAAATAATAAGATCAGAGTGGAAATAAATGACAGTCTAAAAAACAATATAAAAGATCAATGAAGCCAAGAGTTGGTTGGAACTCTCATTTCTTTGTTTCATGGCTTATAAATAAAATATACTACGGGTATAAATTATTATTGCTAGATAGATTAGCATTGGGCCAATATAAAATCTTACATTTATATGGTACCTTCCACATTAACAAATAGATTATCTCATCTGCTTTTCACATCAGTCTTCACATATTTTCCCCTGTTGTACTCAATGATATTTGGAAATATTAAAGTAGCAGTCTATAAAATTAATGAGTAAATGGAAGAACTGAGATAATTACAGCTATTTCCTTGGGAGAAAATATTATTTTCTCTCAGAGAAATTTTAACTTTTCTCATGATTCTGGTGTCCTGGGTATTTCTTTAATTTTTTTTTTATTGTCTAAAGTAATTTTTTTTAACTTCTGAGAAAATAATTAGCTCCACAAGGTGTCAACTCTGTTAGTTTAACAATTATTCAAATATTGATAATGCTTTCTTTGTTAGAACAGTGTTTATTTTGTTTTCAATAAGGACATGATTCCTTTATTTTAGACTTAAATCACATTTTTTTCAATATAGATGTCCACTTAAATGGCATATCATGATAAGTAATTTTAATTGCGTATATGAACATTTACCATTTTTTCAGGTTCTTCCTTTCTTTTTTTTCCAGCTCAGTAATGTCAATTATTCTAATTACTTGTTTTCCAAATTAAATGAAAGTCAAGATGCTCTTAGTCCATCATATAAAACAGCACAAATTGGAACATTATTTGAAAGATTAAGCAGGTGAGCAAAGATATGGCAGGAAACAAAGAACCTGCAGCATTCTTTCTTTGAGTTATTAATCTGATTTTAACGTACACAAATATTTTTAGTTAAAAATGCAAGCAGACCTAAGTAATACTAATAGAAAATATCCACTAGATTAATATATAGCATTTAAATAAAATAGTTTTAAATAATTATTTTCTAATGGGCACACCTACCTTTTATTTATGTATGTAAAAATATTTTGGGCCAAGACACTTTGCACTTGTTTTATAATCTCCATGAATTACTAGTTTCTTTTTCTGTGTCATAAACATAATTTCTATTTCATTTATGTCTATTGATCAATGCCTCACTTTTATTTTCTTGATTTCTGTATATAAACCCTAGTTTATTGTTTTAAATCCATTAAACTTGAAAACCAGTTTGAGTCACTCTTTGTAATTGTGGTGAAAAAACCTTGACTCTGTAATTCTATTCCAGTCTTCCTCATTTTATAAAATAACACTCTATTCACTAAGTTGCTTAAACCAAAAGTTGTCCTTGATTCCTTCCTTTCTCCTTCAACTCCCAATATCCATTTCAACAACAAAGTATTGCCAATTCTGTATTCTAACATAAAATTATCTGCTCATGTTTCTATCTCTACAGTTTCATCTCAGTTTAAGCTACCACTGCCTTTTGCCTAGCCGTGGTCGGCAAACTGCAGCTCGCGAGCCACATGCGGCTCTTTGGCCCCTTGAGTGTGGCTCTTCCTAAGCCTTAGGAGTACCCTAATTAAGTTAATAACAATGTACCTACCTATATAGTTTAAGTTTAAAAAATTTGGCTCTCAAAAGAAATTTCAATCGTTGTACTGTTGATATTTGGCTCTGTTGACTAATGAGTTTGCCGGCCACTAATTGCCTAGAGAATTGTTACAGCTCCATAACAGTCCTTTTTGTTTCCTCTTTGTCCTCAGATCCATTTGTTTTACAGCTTTATTAATGTATAATCAGCATACTACAAACTGAACCTATTTAGAATGTGCACTTTAAGTTTTGACATATGTCAAAGATAATGAATATAGTATTCATCATCCCTAGTAGTTTCTTTGGGCACCTTTGTAATTCCTTCCTCTGACCATGTCACATCCCTTACCCTCCTCCCAAGGCAACTACTGATCTGCTTTCTGTATGGAGTTCCTTTTGTCGGAAGGTTTTTGTTTTTGTTTCTTTAACTATCATATTTTACTAGATATAGGCTAATAATGTTTTTATTTGTTGAGTGAGCTTTGGTAGTTTGTCATACAATGAATGTATCTTATTTTTATTAATTAAAAATTTAAATGCACGCTATTTTTTATGTTGTAGCATTTATTGACTTATAGTTATTTATAAAATTTCCTTTTTATGTATTTAAAATCTTTAACATCTATGGTGATGTCTTTTCTCGCATTTTTAATATGGTAAGTTGTATTTTTTCCCCTTTCTCCCAGTTATTCTGAATAGAGGCTTACCAATTTTATTTACCTACTCCCTGAATCATCTCTCAGTTTCACATATTTCTCTTTTCGTGTGTGTGTGTGTGTACACGCATGCGCGCGCACTCATTGCATTTTTTCTTTTTCATTTTAGAGAGGGAGGAGGGAGGGAGAGAGGAAGAGAGAGAATGACAGACAGACAGACTGACACCAATTGCCTCTTGTACATGTCCCAACCAGGGATTGAACCCACAACCTATTTATGTGCCCTGGCCAGGAATAGAACCCACAACCTTTCGGTGTACGGGATGATGTTTTAACCAACTGAACCACACTGGCCAGGGCTCATTGAATTATTTTTATTGTAACATTTTTGGTACTTCCAATGCCATATGTTTGCTTTGCACGCTAGAATTCATATGCTAAATAAAGCATTAAATCTGAAATTTATTTTGGCAGTTAGGGACCTCTCTGATGTAAGTCTGACTATTACTTCAACCTTCCTGCTTTTACTCAAATTCATGACTCACTTTCTACAGCATGACCGTGGCTAGCCTCTCTGTAATTCAAGGATTTTTTTTTCATTATTGGATTAGCTCCTTGGCTGGCATTTTTAGTGGTATTGTATCTGTTAATTGTTGTTGGTTAAAGAAAATGTTTCATACTTTTTTATTTTTTATTTCATTGAATCCTGCTTTTACTTTTATTTCCTTTTGTCTGTTTACTTTGTATTTAATTTATTCTTTTTTTCTTGTGGCCTAATATGTGGTCTATCCTAGGAAATGTTCTATATGCACTTAAGGAAAATGTATTACTGCTGTTTTTGGGTGAAATGTCCTAAAAATATCAATTAAATCCATATAGTCCAGTGATTTTCAACCTTTTTGATCTCATGGCACACATAAACTAATCACTAAAAGTTGACAGCAACCCCCCCCCCCAAAAAAAATTGATCTGACCAAAATATGGCTATAATTTTGATTCATTCACACTGGACAGCTATTGTTGTGTTGGCTGTTGTCATTTTTTTGGGTATGTTTTTTAATTTTGTTTTGTTAATCTGCACCCAAGGATGCTTTTTCATTAATTTTTAGAGAAGAGTGGAAGGGAGGAGAGAAAGAAACATTGATGTGAGAGAGACACATCGATTGGTTGTCTCCGGCACATGCCCTAACTGGGACCTGGTCTCAAGCCTGCAACTGAGGTACATGCCCCTAGACTGGAATCAGACCCTCGACCCTTCAGTCTGGGGGCCAGCACTCTATCCATTGAGCAAAACTGGCCAGGCTGTGTTGTCATTTTTTTTATTTGACAAACTAATGGAAAAGAGGTCAGTGCCCCTAACTAAATCGTCAGGTATTGCATGTTTTAAAAATTCTTGTGGCACAGCAGTTGAAAATCGCTGATCTAGTCCAATGTGTCATCTGAGATCATGGTTTTCTTGTTGATTTTTTGTCTGGATGATCTGTCCATTGATGTCAGTAGGTTGTTAAAGTCCCCTACTATTGTATTACTGTTGAGCTCTTCTGTTATATCCATCAAAATTTGCTTTATATATTAACATGCTCTACATTGGGTGCATAGATATTTACAAGAGTTATATCCTTTTGTTGGATTGATTCCTTTATCACTATGAAATGCCCTTCTTTGTCTCTTTATAGCCTTTGTTTTTTGTGTTTTGTTTTTTTAGATTTAAAAAGAAGTTAAATCTATATTTACCTGCACTGTTAAACATTACACAAAACACATTCAATTGGCAAATAATTATAATGCAAGCCCTTGCATGGCAATCCAAATTTATTGAACTACTGATGCTAAGTTATACAAAATTGCACCGCTTTAATTAAGGCTTTTAGTTTACATTTGGCCACTTCTTAGTAGTTGTAACATTAGGTTGGTCTATTTAAATACTGTGGCTCCCTGTTGGATAGACACACAATCTTTACATCCAAACTTTAATGCATACAAAGCAACAAGGCATTGTTAAATAAAACAGCAATAGTTACTGCAACTTGGGCCTTGTGACCAATTATACATGATTAAAATTACTTGCCACATTCACATCCACAGTACTCGTCCACGATTTAACATCTCAACCAAAATGTTACACATGTGAAGCAATCACTAACAGGCAAAAATACTAAACCTGTATATTTGGTATTGCAAATACACTTATGCATGAGCAAGCAAGGGATTCACAGTGAGAATCTACAGCTGCAGAAGCCTGAAAATGATTTACAAAAATTGTTAAATCAATAAAAAATTGTTAAATCATTAAAAAATTGTTTGAAAATATACACTTCTTGTTGTAGACCCCCCACTGCACACACAACTATAAACATTGTTCTCTATGGAAACAAAAAGGAAACATATAATAAGAAATTTGAAAAATCTGGACATTTCCTTCCCAGCAGATATTAAAGGCAACGTCTTTAATCTAAGACATTATACTGAAAGGACTATTGTATTTTTAAAGACAAGATCACTGTCTACATAGGTTTCTTAAAAATTAAAAAAACTATGTTGCTGTGTTAATCAAATCACTTATTTGTACAATACAATGATGAAGACCTTGATTTTCTTAAAAAAAATTACAATAAGCTACAAGTTCAAAGAAGCGAAGTTATCTGGAGTAGTCTATATAGGAGCTCTTTGAACTTTCTTTTATTATGCTGAAATAGTGGTGCTTTTAGGATTTACATTATTGTACTCTCCAAAACAAAATATGGGGCTTGTTACAGTACACAGTACACTATTTTCATACATGTACAACATTGGTGGATGAAAATGTCTTTTAGCAGTAATACTGGATTGTAGCCTCTGATTTTACCAGATGCATACACTAGGGCTATTATATAAGTAAAAATAAACATGGCTTAGAGCTACAGTGCATCCTATATAATAAAAGGCTAATATGTAAATTGTCCCCTTGACCAGGAGTTTGACCAGGGGGTAGGGCTGGTCAACCACCCTCAGCCCCTCCCCCCGGCCAGCCCGGCCTGATCAGCCCCGATTGGGGTGGGCTGGCCAGACCCCACCTGTGCATGAATTCATGCACCGGGTCTCTAGTTTAGTATATTAAAGCAGCTGACATCATGACTTTTTTGTGGGCCTTCCCAGGCCACGAGTTTTTCTGTTAATTTGCCCCACTAGGTCATAAAAGATCTCATTAACATTTATTTTTGATTTTGCAGAGGATTCTAAGAATGCACAGTTGTTCCACTGTCTTGCTAGATTTTGACCTTGTTCCTTTCCTACAACTCTTTCATCTTCCAAGTCACACTTATTACCAACCAGAATTATTGGAACATCATCAGTGTCTTTAACTTGAAGAATCTGTTCTCTCAGATCTTGTAAATCATTAAATGTGGACTGTGCTGTGATGGAATAAACTAATGCAAAGCCTTGTCCATTTTTCATATACAAATCCCTCATTGCTGTAAATTGTTCCGTTCCTACAGTATCCAAGATTTCAAGCATACACTGTTGTGCATCTACTTCAACTTGCTTTCTATAAGAATCTTCTATCATAGGATCATATTTTTCAACAAAAATTCCTT